ACACAGAGCAGGGGCTGAATTGATCCCATGAGGGACCAATCACCCAGGGAGGCATCAGCTCCCCAGATAGGAATCTTGCATCTTGAATAGGATAGATAGGCAGGGGGAGAAAATTTTGTCACTTCACTTCAACTTAACTGTTCTCAGTTAGGCAGAGAGCCCTTGTGTCTGCTACGTCCATATTGATGAAACAGAAAACAATGCACAGAGATAAAAATAATCACTTTAATAAAGTGTTATCTAACAGGTTGAGTATGCGGTAATTAACTCCTAGAAAAGATTGGGAACCTCATTGACCTCTTTTGGTCAGGGAAATCCTGCAAGTCTGTCACTAAAGTAAAATCTCAAGCCAAATTGTGTGTGTGTGTGTGTGTGTGTGTGTGTGTGTGTGTGTGTGTGTGTATGTGTGTGAGTTCTTCAGATTTTTAGTTAAATTCAGGAAACTCTAAAAGTATAGTTCAGCCCCATTAACAAACAAGGTGTTACTCATTTGATTCCACATTTGAAAACCTGAAATGAACTTTTAAGCACAAAATGCTAGCATGACAGTGGCAAAGAAAATTAGCGAGAGATCCATGCTTTCGTTCTCTCTTCCTTGGGTAAAGGGAATTTTGAGGTGGGATTTTGGAAACTGGTACATCAGACATTATCTCCTGCCCACAAACACCAGCATATAAAGATTATCTTATTGATGGCCAATAATGGAGAATAGAGATTTTTATATTCCTGAAAAAAATGGTATAATCTTTCTGTCAGACATATTTGTGTGCTGTAATCTATGGGCACTTCACTGAAAAGTATACTAGAGATGAGTCTTGTGTGCCAGAGATAAGTTTAAAAAAACTCTCACCTTGGTTTAAAATGTGTACAATAGTTGGAATATTACTATTGATTAGTATTACGACTATTATTAATAATTTATATGCATCATATACTCGTTTTAGACACTGTGCCAAGTCCTGGTATATTTAAAAATCACTTTGGACCATCCTTTTGACCTCAAGAAAAAGTGTTCAATAGCCATAGTGATAAGCATAAAAGATGAACTATTCTCAGGCAACAGAAGCTCAATAAAAACTTGATTAAGCCACTGGATAGCTATAAATTCTTAGCAGAATATTCAAACATTTTGTTTCTGTTACAGTGGAAGTAACCTCTACAAGTTGGTGCCTTCAGTCTTTGAGCCAAATCCACGCTCTTTTTAGTAGCCCTAAGCCAATGACTGAGACGACAGAGGACCACAGCCTCAGTATTCTTGTCCAATGATGTAATGTTCAAATGGACAATTTTTCACTCCAGAATCCCCTGTTGGGTGGGCAAAGATTTTGCCGGATCTGCATTGCAGTCTATGACTCTTTTGCCAAATCCTGATTCCTGATCCCCTTATCTTTACAAGTTTTAGGCCTGCAAACTTGTCTGCAGCCTTTCCCTGCTCAATGTGTCTGCTTCCAGAGGGACCCAAATGACACAGCTGGACTAGCTTTTAGGTGTCCCACGTTCCTTTTACGTTCCTGCTGGTATCCCAGTGTGTGATATTTGGCAAGTCATTTCTGTTCTCTGGTTCTTTATAATAAAGACTCTTACAAACAAAAGTGACCCTTGGGATGATTTGCTTGAACATTTTGGAATTTTTGTTAGAGTTGATTATTCTGCTAATAGGTCTTCAACTGACTGGAAAAAAATTGATGACAACAGAGGTATTTATAAAAATATATTTCACAAAGTAGGAAACAATACAGGAGTTTCTCTGAATACAATACATGGAGTAAATAAACAATATTGCATTAAAGCAAAGTAGAAAATTAAAATGATCTGCATGTAATACTTGAGTTTTATCATACATTTTCTATTCCTAAATGGCAGGTTTGCATTACAAATTAAATATGTTCACATCTTCTAGTGCTGTTCTTTTTTTGGAGTCTAAGACATTCTGTGCATTACCATGAAGATCAGGGTGAGAAATACTAAAAACATAAGCAATGAAATTATGTACAAATCAGTTCCTGCTCTAAAACAATGGGGGTAACTTGAAGCATGTTTACTGGGCAGGGAATTAGGGAGGTATCTAAAAGTCTAAAATTTAAATATTCACAGGAATCAATATACTTTCAGATGTTTGTGCTTGTAGTAAAAACACTGAATACTAGGATTATGAACAAAATAGAAAACAGTCCAAAAGTTTCTCTGGGAAAATGCTGTTCCTGCCATCACCAGTTACAATAACACTTTCTACTCTAAAGAGACTATTGGCTCTGCTTTTGATAATATTGCCTGCCATACTCATCTCATCAAAATGTACATGTATTAAACATTCATTGTATATATTTATATAAAACAATCTAAAGGATTATTAATGGATATAATTTAGGTTCTTTTCCCCCATATATTCCCTTAATCTATAGATTACCAACCTTAATAAATAAAAGCATTAATGGACATCAATAAAATATTTATTTCGAGGATTAAACAAATAAATTCACGCGCTAGCAATAAAACCATCTGTCTCTTATGTAGTCCACTGTGTGATACAGTTTATCTTTGTGTCCTTGTGGAAGAAGATGAAGCGGAGGGAAGAGGAGTCCTGCTTCTAGCAAACACGCATGTTTGAATGGGATTTCTCTCCTCCCACCACTGAGTTGGCAAGCCCCACCCTGGAATGGATTAGGAACATGTGAATATTTTAAGGCTCGACACAATATTTAAAGATGCTATTCAGTCTCTGGTGAGTGGGGCCAACAATTATGTACAATGTGTGGTCACCGTACCATATAATCTAAGAGGCCTCTCAAAACTCCAAAAAGTTACAGTGTACAGCAGACCAAGTATTGCTTTATCATTTGTAGTGGGATCCTTATTGGTGAAGGGGAAAAA